CCCAGGGTGTGCCTCTCGTGGGAATTGAACCACAGTGACCAGGAGCAGGATCCTGAAGCCCTGCGGTTGCCGTGGTGATGGGAGCAGGTTTCTCAGAGGAGCCACAATCGGGTGGGATTCTCTCTGGAAGTGGGAGGCAGCTCCGCACCCCCAGCAGAGAGTTGCTTGTGGCCTCGGACCCCCTTCCCAGAAAAGCCAGCCCTCAGGGAGAAGCATACAGACTCCTCCTAGCACCCGGCCTCATCCCTGCCCACCCATACCCCCAGGGGCCCAGGTGGACCACAGCTGGGGGACAGGCAGCTCTGGGTCCTCCGCCTGTCCAGTGTGCGAGAAGGCTCGCTGTCCCTTCCTGGGGGGGGGCCATGCAGCTCATTCTCCAGGCCTCTGCGTGCCGGCTGGACTCCCAAGACTCCCTCTCCCTGAGCCCAGGAGCTGCACAAGGTACATACTGTGCCCATTTCATAGACGGAAGAAGCGAGGCTCAGAAGGGCAGCGATTTGACGGAGCTGGATCTGAAGGTTGTCTGCTCAGCTCCCCCATGGAAGCTCCCTGCTGGAGTCTACCCTGCCCTGCTCAGCCTGTGCCCAGTCCTCCCTGGACCTCCAGTCCACTGACCCTTCCAAAGCACAAAGCTGAGGCTCAGAGAGTCCCACAAGGCTGGAAACACAGGTGGTGAGGCTCCGGGACCACACCTTGGGGGTCCTGCCAGCCACCTCAAGGGGCTCTGTCCTCCAACCTCTCCATGGCTTTTCCCATACGGCACCAGGAACTGACCCTTCTATTTAGAAAGACATTGCCTTGGTCTGTTGTGCGCTGCTGTAACAGAACGCCTGAGACCCGGTAGTTTATGAGGAAGAGAAGTTTATTTCTCACAGTTCTGGAAGCCGGAGGTCCACGATCAACGTGCTGATATGTGGTCTGGTGAGGGCCTTCCTGCTGTCCTCACACGGCAGCTGGCCGAAGGGTGAGAGTGACATTCCACACCTCTCTTATGGCACACAGACCCATTCGTGAGGATGGAGCCCTCGTGACTGGACATTTCCTGGAGGGTCCCACCTGCAGCCTGTCCCTGGGGCCTGCCTTCCCCACACGTGGACTTTGGAGGGACACCTTCCAGCCGCAGCGCTGGCCCTCACAGACTTGCCTGGAGCCCACCCCCCACCCCTGGAGTCGGGGACGAGCCACCTGTTTCCCTTTGTGCCAGCTCCTGGGGTCCTTGTGGCCCCTGCTCAGGGGGTAAAAGGACAAGTTTAACACTGCCTCCTCCCAGGGTCCTGGGGCCTGGGTTTGGGGACGTGGTCACAGCGGGCCTGACCGGCAGAAATGCTGCAGAGGTGAGGTGGGTGGTGGGTGGGAGAGGATGGGGACGTCCGACCTGGGTGAGGGACCACAGCCTGCAGGGTCCACCTGAGGGCGGGAGAGGGAGGGCGGAGGAGCCCCCGGGTGTGGAGACCCCCGGGGCCGCGTAGAGCCCGAGCAGCCCTCGTTCCCACCACAGCCAGCGTCCAGCCCAGGATGGGACCCTGGGGTCCAGTCAGGGGTGACCTCGGACAACTCGGCAGTCGCCGCCCACAGTGGGATTTGGGAGACCACGGCAACTTCGTAATCCTGGCGTCCTCCTGAGGTTGGCAGGTGCCGTGGTTTGGTGTGGTTCACCCCCCCAGGCTCGTGCGCTGCACAGGTGTCCCCAGGATAATAGTGTCCACAAATGGTAGGACACTTGAAGGACAGGGCCTTGGCCAGGCACGGAGGCACAGTGAGGAGGCTGAGGCAGGAGGATGGCGAGTTCGAGGACAGCCTCAGCAAGGCCTGTCTCAAAATAAGTAGTAAACAATGCTGAGGGTGTAGCTCAGTGCCTGAGCACCCCTGGGTTTAGTCCCCAGTGCCAAAAAAGAAAGAAAGCAATGGAAAAAGAGATGGGGTCACAGGCGCCACCCTGGCTTGGGAGGGGTGGAAGGGTGCTGAGGGAGAAGCTCAGCTCTCAGGGGCCTGCAGTGGTCACTGTAAGAATGGGTCATTATGAAGCAAGTTTGGCATTCTTGGTGTACTGTCTGCCCCCCCACCCCATGTGATGCTATTTTCCACAAGCCTCTCTCCAGAAACCAAAGCTGCACACACCAAGCTCCACGATCTGTGGAACTGTGGGCTAAACAGACTTCTTTGCTTTACAAAGCACTCAGCCTTAGGTATTTTGTTAAAGCCACACAAATCAGACTCAGACAGTGGATGCCCTGAATTTCTCTTTTCAAAAGGGCTTCTCTGCTCTGAGGCGGTCCAGGCCTGGTCTCCAGTCAGGACCAGCACATCCTGGCTGGACCACCTTAGGGAAATGACTTTGGCTCTCTGAGCCTCAGTTTCTTCATCTGTAAGACGGGATTCATGTTATCATGCTGATGCGAGACTGATGCCCGTGAAGGACACGGCACACGCCAGGTCCCGGGAAGCCCCCTGGAAGCCCCCTCCCCTGATACCCTGGCAGAGCAGTGGACGTCAGTTCTGAAGGGGCTGAATTCTGGGAGGCTGGGAATGAGAGGTCTGGGATCTGAGTGGTGAAGAAAGAAGCCACAGCAACTCCACAGGAACTCTGAGAAGCGGGGAGTGGACCGCACCCAGGAGCCGGACCCTGGTAACGACAGGAGGCCCGCCACAGAGACCGCGGGCTCCCTCACACAAAGCCCATCTGATCCAGCCCAGGCAGGAGTGGGAATGGGCCTGCCCTTCACCGTCACCACAGAGCAGTTGCTGCCTTCAGTCACCACAGCACAGGCTGACAGCGCCTGCAGCTGTCACCCTGCCCACCGCCAACGCCCACCTCCCGCCCAGGCTCTCTCCAGGAACAGAGCTGCTCCTGAAGGTGTCCTGGAGGTGTCAAGGCCTCCTCCTGTCCCCTCCCCTCCCTCCCCTCGCTGCTCCTCTCCCTCCCCCATACCCTCCCCCCTCTCTCCCCTCCCGTCCCCTCCCCCCTCCCCTCCAGGCTCCCACAGGGCTCCGTCCAGGGTGCCAGGCACCTCCTGCTCCACCCTCCCAGGTCCTGATGGAGGGGCAGTGCAGCCCGTGTTCTGAAGAGAGTCAGGGTCTGGGGCTGACCCGAGCCAGGGCCAGTCGCGGCTCAGCCAAGTCCACGCCCTTGTCAGCTTCAAGTGCTGGCTCCTTTCGCGCCTCCAGGACTTCAGTGCCCAGAACCCGGCTGACCCAGCCCCTGCGGGAGGCTCCCGCGCGGGGCACCCCACCTGCACCACCCCTGGCAACCGCAGCACTCCTCCCTTGGCACTCGGGAACCAGGGCCCTGCAAGGCTGCGTTGGCACCTGGCCAGCACCAGCTGCTGCCGCCACCCCACAGGACGTGGCCCTGCCTTTTGGGGACTACTTGGCCCCCTTAATGCTTGGGGCCCCACAGAGCCTTCAAGTATTTGCTGGGAGCCTCCATTCTTTACAAACCCCTCCACATCCCAGAGACCCCAAGAGCCCCTGTCCACTCCTGCAGGTGCAGAAGCTCTGGGGACCCGTGTCCCTCCTGGGGATGTGGGCCCCTGAAGGCAGAAGCCTGTCCCCAGCCCAAACCTGGAGCTGAATTTGTTGTGGGGGACAGATTCCGAGGGTGGGGTAAGAGGGAAGGAAGACACCCTCACCCCTCTGCTCAGCATCCTGCGGGCACCTGAGAGCTGTGGGGAGCGCAGGAGGCATATTGAGGACGCCAGGACCGGCCAGCATTCAGCATGTGGGGTTTGACCATGGTGGCCCTGCTGGGTCCAGCTCTCTGGAGCTCCTTCAGGGCAAAGCAGGCCCCTGACCCCAGCAGGGGTGAGCCCGCAGGAAGCTCCACAGAGAAGCAGGGGGCTTTGGGAGGGTGGGTGGGGGTCTTGGGCCTGTCAGCCACCACCCTGGAGGACAGAGGATGCCTGATGCAGGAGGATGGGTGGCAGACCTGCCACAGGGCCTGGGCAGGGCACTGAGCTTGGACACCTGCCTTCACCCCTGGGGCTCCTCTGCAGCAGCTGGCCCCTCCTCAGAGGGCAGTGGGTTGACCCCTGTGGAGTCCCAGAGGGGCTGGCTGGCAGAGAAGGTCCCCTGAAGGATCCTGCACATATGGGTTGGTTGTGTCCCCCTAGAAGGAGGTGTGGACGTCTGGCCTGGCCCAGGAGCGCACCCTTGTCTGGAAACAGGGTCTTTGCAGATGTGATCATGTTGGAAGTTAGGATGAGGTCACGCGACGGAGGGGGAGCCTCGGAGCATGAGGAAGGTGGCCTCCTGCAGAAGCTAGTGGGCAGGCCACCAGGGCAACCACGGGCAGGCCACCAGGGCAACCACGGGCAGGTCAGGGCCCTGCCTCCTGGCCTCAGCTTTCTCATCTGTGAGCTGGGCCTGTTGGTCACCCCACATCAGAGGGTCCTGGTCCACGGCCCACCATGACTTTCAGAGCCCCCCTCACCCGACCCTGCACTCTGGCTTCCTGCTGACCCGCCACAGACCTCCTGGCCTCCTCCTCTGCTGGAGCACACTGCCCTTCTTCTGCTGCCCGCTGCTCCCCGCATCCTGGCCTTGGCTTCCTCTTCCAGGGACCCCTGCCCTGATGCCCCATGGCCAGGTCCTCCCACCCTGCACATGCTCATTGCTGCTCCTTGGGCCGGACTGTTTGCCTGGTGGCTGGTCCACCTCCTGGGGAACAGGACCTGGTCTGTCATGAGTGAGGAAGGAGCTGGGAGGGCCTGAGGCTGGAGCAGGGGCCTCTGGCTCCCGGGGACAGCCAGCATAGGTTCACTGTCCCGGCCCCAGGCAGAGTGGTCAGGGGCTGAGGGAAGTTAAATGGGCTGATGACCGCCAGACAGTGACAGGGAGGGGCCAACCGGCCTGGAAAAGCCCAGGGTCAGGCCAGCCTGGCCTGTCACCCCTGACCAGCAGCACGGTGGCCCTGCCTAGCTCCCCCTGCTGTGGCACTCCTCCTGGGAAGGCCACTGTCCGGGGCTATGGCTTTCCATGAGGTAGAGACCACACTACAAGTGTCCGTTTGCATGTCATCTGTATTGTCACGTTTATGCACATCACTACGGTGGACAGGAAACGACCTATTAGGTCTCACAGAGTCCGGCCCCTGGGGGCCAAAGCCACACGGATGCCCCTGGGCCAGGACCAGGCTCTCTGAGGGCGCGGGCTCCAGGTCTCCCCAGGCTCTGGGTCGGGCCTCGGGGAGGCCAGCTCGCACCTCAGGCCCTCCGGCTCGCGGGCAGTGCCGTTCCTGGGGTCAATAGCTGTCCCTCAGGAAAAGGGTCCTGTGGTCCAGTAAGTTGAGGAAACATGGCTTCGCGAGGTTGAGCAGGACTCCCGGAGCCCTACAGGCGGAGCGCGCAGCACTTCCCAAAGGTATTGGACCACAACACCCTCTTCCCCTGGAGCGCCGGCGGCGGGCGTCCTGCGGGCACCCTCGGGAAAGTGCTGCCCCAAGCTATCGATGACCGTTAATGGCAATGCCACCTGCACTGCGGGGCTTGGGGGAAGTCGCTGGGCATCGTGCTGTGGCGTGGTGGGCACCGCCCAGCCCTAAACAGTCATGACGGTGAGAGGACGAGACCGCGCCCGTCCTGCTGCCGTGACTGTTCCCACCTGTGTCCCCCGAGTGGCGGCCAAGCAGGGCCACCGCACAGGCAGTCCCCGGCCGCCTGGAGAGGGCATCTGAGTCCAGGAAAAGGGGCCAGAGGCATGGCATTGAGAACATGCCAGTCACGGGGCCAGCCTGAGACTGCTAGCTCCAACCAGGAGGGGACCTGGAGGCGAGGCAGCCGTGACTGGGGCCACCTGCTTCCCTGCATACCCACCCTGCCTCCTGCCACTCTCCCGGCCACCCCACGCCCCAGGCCGTGGGCAGGCTGGCAAGCAGGTGGGTCACCAGACAGAGATGAGCATCTGGCAGGTGTTGGAGGACATCCAGACCAGCTCCACCAGGCGGAACTGGAAGTAGCCGATGACGAAGCCCGAGAGGACATCCGTGATGTGGTGTCGTCCGATCATCACGCGGGACAGGCCCACACAGAAGGCCCAGAGCACCAGCAGGATGCGCAGGGGCACTGCCAGCACCAGGTGGCTGAGGAAGAACTTGGACACCATGGCGGCACGGCTGGCGTGCCCAGCGGGGAAGGCGTAGATGTCCATGGTGAGGTAGTCCAGCAGGCTGGGGCTCGTCTCGAATGGGCCGCGCCGCTTGATGAGCTTCTGCACCCCGGCCACTGTCATGATGTCCAGGAGCAGAGCTGTGGGTGAGAGAAGGAGGTCCTGGGTAGTCGGTGCCACCAATGGGCCAAGCTCCGGCTCCCAGACCCATCCAGCCTCACCTCCCCTTTGATCACCTCCCTCAGCCACACTGACTTCCAGGCAGGTTCCTGCCTAGGACCTTTGCACTCACTGTCCCATCACCTAGAGTGTTCTTCTTTCTGACATCTGTTTCCTTCTGTGTCTGCCTATAGAAGCCCCCATCACAACCCCCTGCCCTGCTTCATTTTCCTTACAGCATTTCTCACCACCTGACTACTTTGCATTTTCTAATCTTTTCCTTTCTCTTCTCTCCCCCACCCACCACTACCACTCACTAGCACCCTGAGGGCGGGGGTCCATTTTGCTCTTGAGGCCTTCAGCAAAGGTGCCAGAGGACAGAAAGTGTGGGCAGCTGGTGAGCAGCCACGGGGACCTGGAGGGCTCCCGTGCAGAGAGGCGAGCCCTCATTTAAAAAGTTAAAGGGACACTCAGGTCTTGTGCCATTAACTACGCTAGAGAGCACAGTTCAGTGACATTTTGTGTGTTCACAAAGTCTGACACCAGACCAGCCAGCTACTTCCAGAACCTCCCGTCGCCCCAGCAGGAAACCCTTAAAACAGAGGCCCTAAGGCGGTCCAAAGGCGTCAGGCCCCGCCCGCTACCAGTTCAGCCCCGCCCCGCCTCCAGCCCCGCCCCGCCTCCAGCCCAGCCCCGCCTCCAGCCCCGCCCCACCTCCAGCCCAGCCCCGCCTCCAGCCCAGCCCCGCCTCCAGCCCAGCCCCGCCTGCCGCCGGGTCTCCGGGTCTCCGTCCAGGAGGAGCCTCTCCTGGTCTCCTCCCACAGGGGGGCTGCTGTGCTTGGCTCCCCCCACCGTGACGTTTCCTGGGTTCACCCACCCACGTGGTAGCTCACATGGGCACGTCATCCTCTGTGTGGCTGAACGGTGATCCACCGGGTGGCTATGCCACCGATCGTCACCTGGCAGTGGACACTGATTTGTTTCCACTTGGCCGCTGTGGACAATGCTCCTGTGGACTCTGTGCGTGAGCACCTGCGTGGGGGGGAGGTCTCTGTTCTCGGTTCCTTGGGGTGTGCACTTAGGACTGGGACAGTTGGGTGACAGGGTGACTCTGTGGCTTTTCGAGGCACCCAAACTGCTCTCCACTGTGGCAGCCGTCCCCACTCTGCAGTGGGTGAGGTGGGCAGTGTGGAATATTCCTACTTATTGCTCCTCCTCTCTGGAATGTTCTGCCCCTTTCCAACCCCCTGACTCACCAGCATACTTCTGGCCTCAGCCTCAATGTCACCACGTCAGGAGGCCTGTGCTGGCCTCGCAGGGAGGACAGGCCCTGAAGTGTGCACACTCCATGCCCTGTGTCACCAAGGACCCCGCAGTCAGTGGTGAGTGGTTGGTGCCTCCACCACACGTTCCCCCTGCACCATTGGCTCATGAAGGCTGGGGCCATGCCTGATTGTTCTCAGGTTTGTCCCCTGACCTAATAGAGCAGCAGTCACCAAATGCTGGGTGACTCACTGGCCTGAGACTCTTAGCCAGAGGGTGGGCTCATCCCCCATTTTGGAAACATTGGAAAGGCCCCGGGTCTCCATCATGTCTCTGCTGCGACCCTCCTGTGTGGGGCTGCTCTGCCTCTCTGTGCAGTTAGATGAAGGCCCGTGCCGGGGCGGCAGTTTCACCCAGCTGGTCACAGTGGCATGGACAGCCACCATGAGGGCTTTGGGCAAACAGTTCCCACCCTCACAAAGGCCCTCTGTGGTGGCAGGTGGCATTGGCAGGCCAGGACACACCTCCGGGGCAGCTGCAGAGTCACCGGGGAACCTACACCTCTGGCCCTCATGTTTCCCTGGCATCAGTGACCTAGGAGACCCCATGGGGTCACAGCACCTGTCAGCCCTTCTTTGGGGACAGGGAAGACAACCCCAGAAGCAGGTGCAGTGCTGTGTGTCCCTATTTGGGTCACCTAATTCCCCCACCTGTGAGATGGAGATGGTGGTCACCTCCTCCCCAGCAAACCAGGCCAAGTGTTTCCTCTCAAGGCCTCCCCCCACCCCCCGCCCAAGGGCAGCTCAGATCGGGGATTGTGACTCCAGGTCAAGGTGGCCTGGCTGGAGCCTTCCTGGAACACAGTGCCAGGCGTCAGAGCTGCTGGGTCTCAGCAGCTGCCCAAAGAAATGAGAAGAGACAGTGGCTGCTGGTCACAGTGGACACTTCCACAGTTAGAGCTAAAGGCCCCTGGGATCCTGCCACTCAGAGAAGCCCTGTCCAGACCCTCCTCCCCTGGTGTGGAGTGTAGATCTGGTAAAAGCATCAGCATGCTCACATGCAGCTCCAAGCCCTCTGTTTGAAAGTTTTGCCATGCCAATGTCCCCACTTCCACTGCTAAAAGTGTGAGGCCCTGGCTGTCCACACTGCCCCTTGGTCACCAGGGAATCCTCAGCCTTCCACTGTCCCCTGGCAGGGCTGCTGCTCAAAATCCAGCCTCAGCTTGGGGTTTGAATGGTGGCTAGCCAGCCCAGGTGCTACTGACCCAGGCCAGGATTTGGAGCCATCTGGAATCTGGGGGCGGTCCCAGTCCTAGAGGAGAGAAGGACTGGGGACAGCCAGATTTCCAGCACGGGGAAGCCTGAGGGAGGCAGCTGCAGATGACCCCTGGCCCACTGGGTGCCCTCAGCCTAGGGGGACAGCCGGGAAGTCCAGGCCAGGAGGACCTCTGCAGCCCTGTGAGGTCCTCCCTCACCTGCAAGACCCCGAAAATGACCTGGGGGCAGTCTCCCCCACTAGGGGAATGACAGTGAAGTGACCTGGGGAGGGGGTTAGATTCACAGGCCCAGAGTCACAGGTGAGTTTGAGTCCTGTCTCCTACTAAGAGCCAGGCCCTCTGTCTTCCCACGGACATAGGCCATCACGGGACAAAACGAGCTAATGGTGAACAGGAAGCAGGGGGCAAACCTGTGTGGGGACCCCATATGTCCTTCCTAAGGCCAGGTCTGGCCTGCCCTGGGGCCTGGGGGGCCTGAGGCAGGTGCATGGATGAAAGAGTTGTCCTCCCTGAGGTCCCAGCGGGTCAAGTGACGGGGCCACAGTGATGAGGCGAGGGCCTCCCAGGATTGGTGCCAGGGAATGGCCAGGGTCTAGGTGCTGAGACTCTGGGGGCAGTTAATGTGCACCAGACTAGAATCAGGCCCAAAGTCGATGCCACCAGTCACTAGAAGATCTGGGCATCTGCCCTGTTGGTGACCAGGTGGATCAGGTGAAAACCAGGACTGGAACTGCCCGGTGTAAAGCCCGCCTCCCCAGCAGAGGCGCCCCGTGGAGAGCTGCTGGGTTCAGGAGGGAAGGTCACCTGTCTCCAAATAAAAAACCAAAAAGGCTGGGGATGTGGTTCAGTGGTGGAGCACCCCGTGTTTGATCTCTAGTACCCCCCCAAAAAATACCCAGAACATGAAGCAGAGGAAGATGGTATCTGGTTCTGACCCTCCTTTGCCTGCTGGGGACACCTCAGAGGTTGCCTGTGCCCCCTGGTTTGAGAAATCCCATGTCTGGGCCTTTGGGAAGCTGCTGATTCATCTGGCAGGAGGCATCTCTGAGGCCATAACAGGGTGGACTCGCTGCCCTCCCTGCCCTGTGCCCTCAGGGTTATCAGGCCCAGTCCACCATCCAGTTGGCCCAGCCCATCCTGGGCCTGGTTCCATCACTCACCTGACCCCCAGTTCTTGGCCATCACTGTTTTGGGGGGTCCAGGCATATGCCAGGCCCAGGGCTGGTGGGCAGCTCCCAAGTGCTTACCCAGAGAGTGATGTTATTCCGGGTCTGGCGGGCAGTGACCTTTCCCACCTGGTTTTGAGGGTTGTAAATAGCAGCGGTGTCCACTGGACAGGGTGGCTTTCCTCCAGAGCCCACAACCTCCCTGGCCTCCACCCCATCCCCTGCCGTGCTCCATCCAGCTCCCCCTGCTGGGCCTCTCCCCTCCTCCCGTGTGGCCAGCCCACAGTGAGACTGCGGCGATGCCAACACCCCCAGAGTGTAATCTGGCACCCAGAAATAGAAGCAAATGACGCTACCTCTCAAGATTCTGCGAATTCCACAATGAAAGGTTTGCTGACTTACACCCTGTCCTTGGCTTAGCGGGAGCAAGGAGACCCCCGTGGTAGAAAAGGTCCACCTGGTGGGAGGCTTAGGGCGAAGGTCAGGAAAGCTGGCAGTCACTTAACCACTCTTCCTGTGTGATTCCGGCAGGTCACTTAACCTCTCTGGGCCTTCCCCTGCGGGGAAGCCCGGGCTGCACCAGCCATGAGTGTGCCTGCAGGGTGAGTGTGCCTGCAGGGGTGAGTGTGCCTGCAGGGGTGAGTGTGCCTGCAGGGGAGCCGGAAGGGGCCTGCAGCAGGTCCCCTGTGCTCACTCTTCACTGTTGGTGACCAGGTGGATCAGGTGAAAACCAGGAGTGGAACTGCCCAGTGTAAAGCCCTGCTGGCCTGAGTCTCAGAAATGAACTGTTTAGACCCTGCCGCACCTCTGCACAGTGAGCTGGTTCCTTTCTATGGTATCCAAATCCAGGGTGGCTGCCATGGCTGTGTATATAGGACCTGGTCAGGGGTGGCCAAAGACCTGGGGGACCCATGGTCACACTGAGCCCCACTGAGACAAGAAGCAAATCTGGGGATGGGAGGGGAGATTTTACCTCCTGGAGCTGGAGCGAATCTGACTAAAGACATGGGATCAGCCTAAATCTCTCAGTAAGGGACACGTCACACGAGCCTCGTGCATGGGTTATCACCTAAGTTGTCCCCAAGAGCAAGAGCTGGTGGACAGGGGAAGGGAGAGCTGGAGGGTCGGCCGAGGGGGCCTGGGTGGGTGGGTGCTTCAGGATGGCTGGGAAGGTACACCAGGCTCGGGGAGCCGATTCCCTGTGACGGCACAGACCGGAGGCTGGGACGAGGATTCCAGATGGGAGCACGCAGCCTAGCAGGTGTCTCCCTGAGAG